CTGCAAGAAAAATTAAGACAAATATTAAGCTTACTAACTATTTATAAAATTTTAACAGAATGGAAAAGAACATTTTTTCTCTTGCAATTGCTTTCGCTAGATTTTCGGACACTGTAAGAACAAAACACACATAGAATGATGTAACATAAGAACTAGACGACAAAACACAACTTCGGATCCATAAACACACTCAGAAAACAAGGGCGTTTACATCTTTGGATATTAACACTCGCATCATATAATAATGTCACATGGTAATCAACAGTCAACGTCGCAATTCAAAAGTAAAACCAAGTGATACCCAATAAAATCCTCTTGAGAAAGTCCTAATTACTCCAAGGGAAGAAAAAGCCATTTGTCCATGTTAAATCTAAATTAGAGCCTTTATTTATTTCTACATAGTTTTTGATAGAGAAAAATATATCTAGAAGGGGCAAACGCCTACATCATCATGTATAGCTTTCTGCTCCGCCTGTGCATGCTAACGGTATATTAGAACGTTCTGCGATACGGTAAAAATTACAGTGTGATGTCAAAAACAAAACATACAGTTTGCCAATGGAGTTGGAAAATAAACGTTGTCCCATCTTGACTGAGTGCTTTAACAAACTAACAAAAAACAACTGGCATCTTAAATCCCAAAGAATTCAGTTCTTTATATCAGTGCAACTTCCATACATCTTTAGGAAACTCAAATACAGTAATTAAGGATCACTTGACTTTGATAGTACTTTAAGGGCTTCTCAAAAAGAAAGCCAAATCACTTACTTGACATAATGACACTTGAAACTTCTCTCTTGTGCTCGTGGACTCTCGTGTTGTACAGCTTTAACTTTTAAGTTTGAGTGAAGACCTTTCCAACCTTCCATCCTTATATACTTTGTAGAAAGTTCCTGGTTTGTCATTTCGTCGGCTAAATTAAGATCTTTTTCTTCCCAAGGCTTGAAGGCGGAGGTTGCAGAAAATCCTTCATGCCACGGAATTTAAGTTATTAATTCCTGACTCATAGAGAACTGGTGGCCACTAAAATTTACCCCTAAACGTCAACTTCCTAAATTATATATTTTATCACACCTTACAGAACTAACTGTGGTCTAGCAAAGATGCTGCAAGAAACTTTGGTTGAATCAGAAAAAAGTTACAATATTACGGTACTTGTTTTGAATACTTTCATAATTGTTTAATCCGGCTGGTTGCGCAAAAACAATGTGATACCACCGGTTGCTGTCAGAAATCCGATTTAATTCCTGTATTGTTTTTAATGTTTTATTTATTAAAACGGGGGTTCGCCTGCTGCTTCCATAAGGCGGGGTTCCATAGCTTTTTCCAATAACAAAACAACTGGATGATATGATAATTATCTATTTTGTAACTACTGTCGTCTCGCATGAATCAACGACACGTTGATTCGTTGGTTAGCGATATTTGAGTTGCTAAAAAGCTAGGAAATTCTTAGTTTCACCCAAGAAATGTTGAATACTAAACTGTAGAGCGCTTTAGTTCCTGTTTTGGGCAAGAACGTCAGAAGCTAAAATTATACGATGTCGCTGGGCATTGTAAGAAGGTACGTGAGAGATGGTTAGTCAGTGAATCGGGAATTCTAATACATACAAAATGGTCATGTACTTCACATCCTGTCGTTGGTTAGGGAACCTTTTTGTCTCAAGATTGCTGAAACATAGACAAGCTCTACATGCCCTCTGCATGCCTAATTTGTTGAGATTACTCATCGATGATTAGTTACACATCCAGCTCAATGCCACCGTATACCTAATGGTTCGGACTCAAGCAGAAATACCGTGCGCTTCTGTTAATCGCTTTAATAAATCTTATCCCTTAGGTCTCTTTATGTTCTAGCTGACAACAGGGACAAGCGAGAGAGTTCTGTGGACGTAACTGGCTCAAAATTCTAAAATACTGCATGATACTCGATCTCATAATATAGTACTGAATCTAATCGAAAGGTCGGTAATGCTGTGCATAGCTGGAACCTGGAAGAGCGATTTAAAAGTACTAAAACATAATCAAAGATGAATCTTTTGTACACCAGCTATGACAATTAACTGTTGAAGAGTCCGCCGGTAAACCGTTTCATGTTTTCCGTCTCCTCATACCTTTCCGTTCAGTATTTCCAGGTGATTTTTCATCATGAGGAACATGTCAAAGTATTACAAACATTTTGTTCAAAGTCGTAAAAAGTCGATCATTGTCAGTTACTGTACTAAACAACGGTCTATTTCTACGATCGAGACAACGAACGCGTTTAGAATCTCATTGGAGCTGAATCGATGCTGGCCATAAAAAATATATTTGATGTTCAAGAGTAATCCCTGCTGTTTACAACGATTGTTTTCGCCGTTCCCTTGTGTGTCTCTCTTTACTGTTTTGTCTAAAATGAAGAAAGTTTCAAAACAATTTTATTCAAGGTTGGTATTATTATAAGGCAATGTCAACGACTGTCTGGGTTTTGAGATTTTCCAAATTCAAGCGGGAACTGTGTGTAAAAACGCTTTAGAAATCGATCAGGTGCTTCTTGATTCTATGGTCATAAACAGTGTTCTACATTTTCCCGAATCTTGAATTTTGGGAATACTTTAAAGTGGTTCAGTTTACGTTTACGTTAGATTCTGGTCCAGATGCGATCGGTGTTGGGTGAAAACAAAGAACCGGTAAGTGCTTCGAAAAAACTACAATAAAACAAAACAAACAAGCTGAATCTGCTGTTATCGGGTGAGAATATGATCCACTTTGGTCGCAATTCCTTTGTTTCATATTTTGACTTTTGCTTCATCATTATATTGCATTCGTCAGATGAATTCCCCATTACCTACGTTCAGTTATCTACCTATCCATAGAGCTAAGCCAGATTAGTATCGCAATAAAGCAGACAAAACCATGGATTGAATAAAAATAACTGGCTCATATTCTAAACAACAGGAGTGACTGATTGGACAGTGCATATTTTGCTTATGTGAGCAAAACATATATGATAGAATAGCAGCAAGATGTGTTTCTGACAACAAAAGCTAAGAGCCTAACACAAAAGAAAACACATAACCAACTGGGGTTGAAATAAAAAGGGGCACGCCTGGTTATAAGGTTGCCTACGATCAGGCAGTATTTAGTAGTGGCTGTAGAAACAAAAACCCGTTTAATTTAGAAATACCCAGAAGTTACGGCATTAAGTTTAGATATCACCGGATTTTCAGAATGCGAATACACTACTTGTATTCGTGTAACTCAGTCAACTTTAAAGCTGCATGATATGAGTATTTCCCTTCAACGAAAATCGATTCAATCTATAGTATGTGCTGTCTTCAAATTGTTTAAAATGACGGTTTTCTCATGATTTGTTCTTCTTTTGAGATTTCGCTTGATGTTCAGTTCTCTTGCGGATGTTTTTGAGCCCATTTTTGATCAGGAAAAAAAGGAAGGTTAGCTTCATTTACCACTCAAGATTCAATATTTATAAATAGTAACTGACAATCCTAAGAAAGGTGCGGAGCCCCTTTCTCGAGATTTTCCTTATCAAACGGCCATTCAACGAATAAATTCTGCTAATAATCAATGTCCTAAAAATTCTGCTTGTTTTGAAAGATGCAATATTCCAGGCAATAAAAGGTCACATTAGACTATAGCAATAATCATTTGTTGATGATTTGTACTATGTACTACGGTTAGTGCTTCCTCTTCTTCAGAACTCTACAGGAGCATTTTTTGTATGCGTTAAGGCACTGGGTAATGACCTCAGAACAAATTAAATAGACCTAAAACAGTAGTAGTCTCGTGACATAGTCCTTTTAAGAGCATTTGGTACGTATTCAGAGCTCTTGGACGTCTTTCCCTGACCAAAATTCTAATAAGAGGATAACTGACAATCCTTTCACCAATATTAACTAAAAATTGTAGCCTTTTGACCCATTCCGAGCGTATTTCGTAGACACTGGCCTATGAGGTCAATGTCTTAACTGAGAAACTAGTGCGGCTAAAAGTTGCGGCTGCAAGTGGTCGGAATCGTGGTTGTTGCAATTTTTGAACCATAAAGGGCGTGGATAATCATGTGACCAGGTATATTTATATTCTATTTCGCCTTCTCAGCATTCGTTCTCTATCTTGGATACTTGTATCTGTGACTTTTAAGAAATGTGCAAAACAACTATGATGTTTTACAACCAGGCCCTAATCTACTTTAGTGACCATGCATGCCACTGTGTGTTAGTTCCTACTATCATATCTCCTGAACTACTTAAAGTTACACAGAGCGCCTGATAAACATAACCCTTTAGGTTTTTTTGAGATGGTCTATTTTATAACTTACAAAAACATTTAGTAATAAGGGATTAGACCGCTGGACGCCCTTGAGTGCATGATATTATGATCTTTCCTGGGTTGTGGAAATAGGCAAGGAGAGCACCAAGCACGAAAACTTTGTAGCTGCACTGGAGCATTATATCTAATTCTTGAATTCTTGTCTGTTGCCCCAATGTTGACTAGTGTAAGGTGTCTCAAGTCTCAAGCGACCTTTGAAGAGGCCATATTCATTGAAAATACCGGCCAGTGTTAACTTCCTGTTTCAAATGCTCTCCAAGATGGCTAAAAAAATATCCACAAATAGGGGTTTGGTATTAAATTTTGCCCTTTAGTGTTAAACGAAGTTGTGATTTGAAAATGACTCAGTATGTTTTACTTTTTTTTATTTATTTCCCCTGATCATATAAACAGAAGCTGTAATCGACAGCCTTTATTAAGCCTATAATGCGAAGCCTTGTACTGAGAATATCTCATAGCGACAATAATTAATCTAAGCCAAGAGATCATTACAATTATAAATTATGAATTATTATTAATTATAAATCTATTATAATTATTAATTATTATGATCTCTTCTAAAAATACAATATATCATATAACGATAAGATTCCGCTTAACTTGTCTACTTTAGTCCTAGGGAAAACTGACAGACTTTAATAACTGCTAATGGGAGCTTTTTCCTTTTCGGCTTACATCCTAGACGCACAACGTCCATCGAGTTTGATGAAATCCCCTTGCATTATAAGGATTTGGCTGTATAAATCTTCCAACAAGGCAAATGCTTGCAAAGCAATTCCTTCAAGTTGTAAAGATGTCACCGGCAATCTCGCTTGCTCTGCAGCCGCGGAGCTCTGGGCAGCAACCATGACACTACTCCAACTGCTTGTTTTGTTGATGGCAGCACTTTTGGTGGGACGGATAACTTCTGTATCTGTATTTCTAGACTGCAAAGGAACAAGGAATTTTTTACATGGCACGGTGAGTGGGTTGATTTCAGTCACATTACTATACAATTAGCTTCTTGTTACATTATTTACTTACTAGAAAAAACCTATTGGACTCAGTCGTTCGAAGTTACATCAACTAAGATGATACCGACTTCAGCTCACCTAATAAGTATATTCATTGACTTTTGATACAGATCTCAACCCACTGATAGCCTCCGATCTGTATAGGCTTTACAAATCAGCCGCTACTGCTCAGAAAAAAAAATCTTCAGAGCACTTTTCGTATGACCTTGAAAAACGGTTTCGGTAAGTGTTCGTTACTTGTTTTATCAACCAATGGATGAAAAGATCAAAACATGGCCTCTTCGTTTTCCCACCAAAGAAACCCTAATATGGAGAAGGCATTGTTCGACTGGCCAATCGTGTTGCAGTATGACGTCAAAACGAAGTATCGGTTGATTTCTAGTTATCGGGCATAAAGTTTTTTCACCCGAGCGTTCGCCTAACCAACCAAAAGCCAAGCGCGTTTGTATCCGATCGATAAACCAATCAAATCGCTCTATTTTCGTTTGTTTGTTGTTTCTGTTTTGTTCGGGCGTTTTCATTTCAGGGTCATACGAAAATCACTCTGACTTTGGACGAAAAAGTTTGAGCAATTGATCATATTGAGCTACAATGGGGATGTCTTCAAGTTACCTTGGGCGCGAGCTGAATTTCCTGGATGTAATAAATGACATTGCTTGCAATCCATTCTATTCTTTTCAGACGGTGTGCAATATCATTGGCGGCTGAGAAGGCGGAAAATTGCTTTCTTAACTTCCTTAGAGGTGAGATAAAGGCCTGTACAATTTTTCGGTTTACTTCCAGTTTGCTTTGAGTCTGTGAAGGAATAACGTTTGAATTACAAAAATTAGCTTTGATCATATTAAAAATGTTAAACATATTGTTTTGTAAAAATAAAAGGTTGCGTCATGCCAAAAAGTTAAATATAAATATCTGCGGACTGATTGTCAGTTCAGAGAGAAAACTAAAAGTCCTAACGAAAACTGTGTAGATCATAGTGCTGAACGGACGTTAATAAAATCAGTATAAAAGAAATTTTACATTTTACTTAAGATAGATGGAAATTATTCGATTCTCTTACCGTTGTTTTCTTCATGTTTTTTGAAGAGACGAATGTGGTTAACTGAATGTTTGATAATCTGTGTTTTTGGTCTTTGACCCGCCAGCGTATATCCTAAAATTTATACAGGGAAACATAAGTTACTTTAACGACTTACTCTCCCACTGAAGGGTATCGGGGACTTACTCTGTTGCCCTTAAGACCCAAAGAAATGTCAAATGTTGTTACTCGTAACCGTAACCTATAAATTTATATTTTTTATTTGAAAGTATACTACGATAACCTATGCAAAAAAAACGTCGATTTAAACACAGCGTGATTTTTTTAAGAATTTTTTTTTGGAAACTTTCAAATTTGCAGACATATTGGCACACCATTCGTCTTTTCGGTGAAGTAGTTAACGGATCGTTGGCCGAATTAACTGAGAAGTCAGTACCCCCTTAGCACCCTCATTCAGATGCGTTCCAATTAGATGCAACAACACTAGCCACCCTGAGAAAGGAAAAAGCAGGCATAAAATCCCGTTTCTTAGTTCCTAAATTTGTGTCCCATGACGTCACATATGAGCCTGTCAATTTCGACATTAGCGGAACAAGGGTGCCAAAGAACTTTTGGCCTAAAAATTTCTAAAAAATCGCATTTTGCTCAAAACGCAAAACTCTTTAGAAGAATTTGCTGTAGTAATGCGTTCTTTCAGTTAACAGAATACAAATTTTTACGCCATAGGCACTTAAAAGCGCCCTTAATTTAAACAAACCCACTATGACCTTTCTAAAATTTATTGGTGGGATAGAATCTCCCTTATCATTTCAGAGTTTTGACAACGTTATAGACAAGCATCGATACTTACAATGATTTCCTTTGTTTCAACCACCTTTGATGCCAGATTATCCAACTCTAGACATATTTTCTTCATGCCATTAGGTTGAAATTTTGTTACAGCTCCAGTCAAGTAAAGATTTATCAAAACAAAAATTGCCGTAGTCAAGACTGAAAGAGAAATGATAAGGTGAACACAATGAATTAAAAGACAAAAGTAAATAGATGAGAAATCGTGGACGAATAGATAGAAAGATGGGCGATAAACTTGATTGAAGTAGTTAAACTCACATGAATGAAATAATAAGTCAATTGAGAAAAATTAAATGAAGAAATGAATGAAGGAGTGATGATGAATGAACGAACGAACGGATGAGTGACGGACAGATTGATGGATGAAACAACCTTAAGTGGACCAATGATGTAACCTGACTGAATGATAGCAACCAATAGGGAATATACAGAAAAGCGAGTTAATTTTTAGCCCTGTTGGCTATGCCCCCACCCCCTCCCAAAAGTATCAGCAAACGTATCAAATTTAGATGGGCTACTTACCTCTCATACTTTAAAGACCTTTTTGATTCACAGCCTTTTATTCTTTCTCGTGAATGTTAACTTAAGTTCTTAAAAGTGTACCAGAAGGGATCCCTTTATATACCCATCGTGAATTTGTAAATTTCTAATTTTAAAATGATTCTGCCCGACTCAGAGCCGGAATCATGTTCCGCTCCCCATTTCACACACCTTTTTGGTACCTTGTTGCTGGGGAAGTGGTATAGTACGGTGGGGATTTTCGTCCCTTTTTGCTCATACATTTATTCGCTTTTTAGGCAATTTTCTTTCTTTACGCTTTAGGAAATCATATCTGAAACCGTCCCATTTTAACACACCCACAAAAGAGAATTTCCTATTCTTAATTATGATAATTTGCTGACAACAAGCGACAAGGAGATGGACGTTAAAACTCTGATTAGGAAAAAGGCTAATAGGGAAGGAACACATGCACATGGTCACCCAAGGCATGTTTCTATTCACGTAAAATTATTGCTTGGAATAAAAGCAGATTAAATGGTCAGCTGTGGTGATGCACGAGATGGGTTCCCCTTTCTTTCGGCAGCCAGTCTCTTCCGTGGGTTCTTGACCAAGTGTGCTGACAGCCTGTGTCAAGGAAGAGAAATGTGATGGGAATTTTCGTCAAATGAACATCCTTCACTTTGGTTTGGGTGTTTAAATTTCTATTTATTTTTCTCGACAGGGGACCCTTGCAACCTGGGGGATATTCGGTATTATTGCAATGACCAGTTTGACCGACATGATAGCATCAATAACAATGAGAAGATAGGGTATTTGCAACATCCAGTAGGTCTGCTTCTTATCTGTCCATCATTGTAAAAATTACAAATTAAGAAAGAAGGCCGACAATAGTGTGTTGTAGGTCTAGAACTAGATGGATGATACTGAAGAGACTTTTCCGCGCTTTCCCACTGGTAAAGTCGCAGTCCGACTTATATATTGCTATATAAAAGTCAGCCTATCCTGGCCTAGCCTCAAAGTTCTTCAATACATATCGTAGGAAGCTTTCTTCGGTCATCTGGCTGAGAGTTGAACTCGATGCAACGGTTTAAGGATCCTTTAAAGGTGAAAACTGGTAAGATCATTTGGAAATTCGCAAAACTCAAATGAAAGATCCTAATACAAATTTCATCGTTGTCAGAAATTGCACCCAGTCGTTCTTCCGGCCTGCATCTTCAGTTGTGAAATCGTTAAAGTCAGATGAGCAGCTTTTACACCTGTAACGACATTATCAGTGATTGTTATTAGATTTAAACTCGTAGTACAAGCAGGTTGAATGATACATGTTAACATACACAAAAGTATGACATAAAAATTTAAATTTAGCATTTGGCGAATTCTAATATATGACAATTACCTTAGTTACCGCATAGCTCCATATGGCACGTATGTCAGAAACAAGACGTATTTCATACTTTCCTCGTATCAATGAAGTGTTGAGCCGGGCATTTCAGTGACTGAGTGTAATCTTGTGTAATCTTGCTAAATTGCACCATAATTTTGCTTCTTTGGTTATACTTATATTAACAAGCGTATGTTTCAAACGTCAACTTTGACAATAGCTGTAGTGTACAAATAATCTGATCGTAAACGACATACAGTATCACAGTGTCTTCAATTGTTTCCAAGAATATTAACTCGATGAATCAGGCAACAATTGATAGGTCCGTGTCATAACCATCCAAGTTTTGTTTTAATCTACGCTAAGAGGAACTCGGTTATGCATTTTGGTAGATAAAAATATTTTATAAAAACTTATACATGTTACACACAACGACGCCATCTCCTTAATTCTTCTTCAGTTTTCTTTCTTGATGCCCCCGCCACCTCCAGTCCGCGATTACAAATCTATTTTTTAGCATGAGATTTTTTTGCCAAAAATACATTATTATCATTTTCCTTTGAAAAAAAGTGGTATTGACCCATGGCCAATCAGTGATATTTTTTGAATCTGAAAATAAAGTAAAGTACACAAAATATCGCATCCGTGATCTCACTTATCCATCTTAGAAGGGGCAAATCCCGACTACAACTCTGTTTCATTGCATCACCGTTGGCATGATGCTGTGCCAGTACCCACGGTAGTGTTGTTGGATTCGAAGATGAAGGATATCGAAGATGTGCTCTGACTTTGAGAAATTTTATGGGTTATAAGTTATCGAACAAGTTATTATCAACAGCTCCTGTGTAACTTAAACAGTAAAGGTCTATTCCCCTGTGCAAGCTAGAATTTCAACGGTTGCTTGAGTTGCCCGCCTTCGTTACGTTTAGTCGAGATGTGCGAATATGTGATTCATAATAGACTATTTATTAGATGTTTTATCACTCACTTTGTTGAACTGAACTCTTAAAACAAGGAAATAGATAAGTCATTACAAAATGCTTATCTTCTTTCCATCTGTGTAGAGCTCTTTGATCACAGTGTATGAGTACGTTTAAAACGAAAAAATATAATTATCAATGTTGTTTCCACTCCCAGGGCAGCCTTTTAGGGCAGCTACAAAAAAAGTGCACGGGAGAGCCCCTGGGCAGTTCCTTAGTTACAGAGGAATTCCCCATGTCCTATTGGCCTGCAGTTAAATATTTTCTTTTAGTTCGGATGCTACTGGAACTGGTTTCTCTCACCTCGCAGACAAGTTTGCGTAGGTGGCAGCATATGTTTGTCGTAAGTGGGTTTTAGTTCGATTTTTTATCATCAAAACCTTGCTTTTTTCTGAAATCTACCATTGAATGTAGGTTACCCTTACGCAAACCCCAACATGTGGGCTACCCCGAGGGTCGGTTTTGGGCCTATCGTTGACATCTTCAAGTCTCACCTCACCAGTTTCATTTCTTTGCCGACGTCACACAATTATATGTCAACTTTAAGACCAATTATGATGTAGATGCATTCCCGGCCAGGTCTAGGGTTAAACGCTGTGTCGTGAATATTGACAGATGGGGAATAATAGCAAGTTGTTCCTATTAGAGGATACTAAACAACTGTTGTTATTTTGTTTTAAATAACACTGAAATTAACGTTAAAGCAATAAGAATGCGCTCTTAGCCACCAGATAGAGCAGATATTCAGAAGAATGGAGTGCACAGTGGTATCAAAAGCAATTAGCTTCAAAAGTACGAGAAGTGTTACAAGCTCATTGTCGTTTTCAAACCTTAACAGAGCAACCTCTGTAGAGTGATAATTACAGAAGAGGGAATAAAATTAAGAAAGAGCCCAAGAGAATTTTTTCGCAATGGACGAGAAGTTCTTGCGCAGCCTTTTCAACTACCTTAAATGAAATGAATGAATCGAAGATTACTGACACGGAGGAAATATTTATCAACCCATTCAGGGGACGCCAACGGTAGTTCTCCAATTCGCAGGGACCTGGCTACTAAGAAGCGTGGGGGCTAATACATCTAGAAAGGACATCAAGGGCCATAAAGGAGCAGGATCTAACCGACGGAAGCTAGGCTGCATACTGCTGCCCCTTGCTGCTGCCCAAGGACAATTAATTACATGCTGTACATCCAATTAACTATATTGCATCAACAAACGAACATTATATGCAAAAACTGCATGATTTTATTGCACCTACATGTTCATTAACTGAGACTAAAATATCTACATGTTCTTATTTTTGTTTGTGCGTGTTTAATCGAGATTCTCTGAAAAAGCCTTTTTTTCCATTTAGTGAACAAATCTAATACTTAAAACTTTTACGGCAAAACGGCAATCTTGCAATATTTTAAAGTTCATGTCAATGCTACCCGATTTTTTCGATAGCTGTGCAATATTAATGTAATATAACATATCATTTCCCAAAGAGAGTACACTTGAATTATATATCATACCAAAGCTGGATAAATACATGAATAATAATTCTTGCAGAAGAAATAACTTTAAAACACAAATTGATAATTAAAGTGATTATTTTATAGTATTTCGATTGAAATATCTCAAAAGCAAGAGGCTAAAATAATACTTGACCAATAAAGAACTTAAAAACATAAATTGATGATTCAAAAGCTCATTAATAATTCATAAAGAAAAGAAAAGAAAGAAATTAATAATTAAAAGAGTGTCTTTATATCTAATAACGACACGACTAAACTTTACGTCCAATTTTTTAGACCAAAATAACCCAAATCTTAATATTAGTGCAGGAATGAGTTGATCAATATCAGAGATTTTGAAGCCGTTCAAAATACTCCCAGTCGTGTATTAACAGGTTTAAAAACTCTCCGCATCGGCTCGATTTTTTAAACCCTATAATACACTCCTGCTTGTTTTTTAAACGGTAAAGAAAATTATTAATTTATTGTATTTTGATTGGGCTGTTTTCTGCTATTATCTTCTAGCAATCTGACAGGGATGCAAGATTTTTCAAAAAAGCTAAGAAGGAAATAACATTTTAAATTTGCATCTGGGTCTCAGCTCTTTAAAGCCTGAGCTAAATCAAAAGTACAGTAACCTTAAAAGTAAATTACTCAAGCGCCTTTGGAAAGATGATATTAACTAGTCAATATAAATAAATTGCCGTGTTAAATATGGTTCTCTAAATGTCGCACTGATTCAGGGACAGAGCTGTTTCTTTAATTTTTCCAAGTCGGGTT